AATGTCATAACTGAAATGCCGGAAACTTTTTGGAGTGTCCTGGTATCGTTCTTTTGACTGCATCTTCCGTCGACTTAATCTAGCAAGCCATAACTGAATGAACCGCTGTTCTCGAATCGGAAGGCGCTGGCGAAGTGCCTGCTGACCAACCCGACACGTGGCCTGAAGCTAAGCTAAGCAATCAAGAGGATGATGGAAGGTATCGCAGCAGAACTACACAAAGAACGTCCTCAATAGACCGAGGAAGTTTTTGACGGTAGAAACAGTGGAACAAACAATAAGTAACCAGCGAATTATGACCACTTAATTTTGGTCTATCTCTAACAGCGTGCTTATTCCGGAAACAAAATTTTTATCTTGTTTATATCTAGACATGCTAAATGATTTAGGCGACTTTAATTTTGTGTAGACGACTATATGGATGATATTAATTTTTTGGTTTTGTTGACCTAAAGAGTAAAGTGGAAATTGCATATATGCTGTATGGGTCATGGAAAAACGCATAGATAGTAAATGAAAAAGGAAGCGCGCTACAACTGATCCCGATTCAAATCGTAGCAAATCGAAAATATTTTTTCAATAGCCATACATGATAAATCTTTTCGTGTTTCGGAACAAATTACGTGTTTAAATGTAAACTTTAGGTGCATATTAAATCACATGTGCTACCTTTAAAAAATCGTACGGAGTAAAATGAGTGAGCATTAACAAACACGGACAATGATTACTAGGCAATACTCACAGCGCTCTGTTTAATCAGTGGTTTTGAATATGCTAGCTCATTATTATGTGGGCCTTGAAATTCGACATTTGCTTTTCTCGTTGGAAGATTAGTTTATACTACCGCCAGCGCATTCGATATTTTACTTATAAATTTGAAGCTATTGAATTTTTCTGATCGTATACGGTCATAACGTAAGGAACAAGTGCAAATAAATTAGGAATTAATGTATTGGAAACAACGAAAGCATAGTGCTGGCTGGCTGGCAGTCTAGCCTCAGTCATTGTTCTGTTGAGAAGGCGCAAGTCCCACTGATAGTTTCTAATAATGTTCGCTCGCTTGTTGGTAAAATCGGTGATCTCACTGCCATTATGCAGCGAAATGAGTATGTCAATAGAGGAATCATTCTGTCACAAGAACGTTAGTTGCATATTGATGTGCAAAATGCGGTTATTTAAATCGTTGGTTATTTTCCATCAGGTCTATCCGCCCTGGAAAGCCTCAGTCTCTTGACGGTGGCGTTATAACCTACGTTACTCAACGTTGGTGCAAATCAGCATACGTCATATTCACATACTCAACGATTTCTATAAACTACCATCTAGTTGAATGTAAACCGAAGTTATTAAGTGGCTTTTTGTCATCGTTGGAAACTTATACATCGCTCCTAATACTTTGCATCAAAATTAACATTTTCTGACGAACAAATTTCTTTAACGCTACTAAATAAGTTAGATTGTTCTATCTGTATTGATGCTAGCGATTTCAATAGAAAAGATACATTAATATTGAGGGCACTTGGCTTAGTAGACCTAGTAACTGTTTTAACCAGAAAGAAGCCAAGTTGGACGCTGTGTTTACAAACGACAGTTGTTTTACATCCAAAATCGGGCTCCGGTGAGCAGCTCAGACCATTGTATATTAAAACTGTGTCCATTCAAATATAGCAGGTCTAACTTTTACTGCTGACTAGAAGTCCTTACAGGATTAGCAAACGACGGAAGTGCTCCTTGGAAAACATCACGAGTCTCCAGACGATGTTTTCCTTAACTGAATTTTTGGTCTTCAACGACGAGGAACTGTCGCTCGAATGTGACCATCTTATGGATCTTTGCTTTGACATGTGTTGCCCTGTTGAAACAATCGGTCTAAGGAGAGATAGGTTTTCATCACCGTTATTAAAGCGGCTTCGAAGAATGCAAGCATGGGCTTACAGGTGCAAGAATGCTACCCGTATCAAGAGCCTAACCACAGCAACTAAATCCCGGATAAAAAGGCTAAACCTTGAAGCAGTTCTAGGCAATCATAATTGTCGCGATCTACGGAGGTTTCTGAGGCAGATCTGTTGTAACAGCATTTGCAATCAGAGCAGTGTTCCGCCTCATTAGCTCAAGTCAAGCTGAGTCCTTCGAACAAAGCAACGTTCGCAAGGAACTCAAAAGAGTAAAGGCACACAAAGCTGGTGGTTCGGATGCTCTCTCATTATTAGCTTTGAAGGATTGTGCTGATTCTCTTACACTGCATTTAACAGATCTCTTTAAAAAATGCCTCACTATGGGTGTGATCCCGCACCTAGGGGAATGGACAATATAATTCCGTTACCAAAAGATTGAACTCCAAATTATCGCCCAATTGTATGTAAGTCTGTGCCTCTAAAATTTTTCGAAAGATCTTAATTCCGCGGATTTGTTCAGCTGCTCGTGGGGACAATATCTATTAATTTGCGTATAGACCCAGCGCTCCGCATTGGATGCAGTGGCATATGCTTTCCATTTATAGTCTCTGCATTAAATCAAAAATGTAAATCCGTACGGCTTCCCTTCCTGGATTCTTCGAATGCCATTAGATGCCTGGATTGGTCAGTGTTGCTAAACCTACTATCCGAGAATGTAGTTCACTCGGGTGTGTGTAAACTTTTACGTGACTATTTTACGGATCGTACCCACTTTACTAATTTGAACGGTTAGAAATCCTCAGTCCGTAATGCTGACTGTGTTGCTCTGCATAGAGCGATCTTATCAACTTTTCTATTTTCCTTGTACTTTGTACATATCCCTGTACAACCCATAAGTATAGGGTGTAAATATGCTGATGATGTTGTGCTGGGTTATGTGGACCCCACTATCCAAGATTCCTGTTCACTTCAACGTGGGTTGGAAGATCTGGTAGAATGGTATTCATCCAGATCTCTTACGCCTAATACTTTTGAATTCAGTGACATAATATTTTCTTTTCTCCGTGGCGATAATCTGCAATCCAGCATTTATTTCTCTCACCCTTACTGTGAATGAAAATCTCATACCCAGCTTTTCCACGGTCAAGTATCTCGGTACCTTTTTGTTCCAGAACCTTTCTTGGTTCACGCCACTCTGTAAAAGTTTGCGAAAAGTCAGAAAACGCTTCTATGCTCTCAGACTTAAGGTGCCTTCAGTACCTTGGACTTTAATATTCAGGTTTGTGACCACTTGTATCATTTCCCATAGGTTACCTTGCTGTCCTGTCATTTTCCCTGGACAGCTTCAGAAAGACTACATCTTTTTGGTGTCATCTATAAAGCACAATTTTAGGTATAGAGACCTTTTAATTGATCTGATAATTGCTAGACATCTTGATACTTGCAACGATTTTGCATCTAAGGTAATAACTGATCGCTTTCTTCCACTTCACAAAGATCTTTCCGAAAAGCTCTCTTTCTCCTCTACTCGTTCGAAATTCAGAATTGTATTCTTCCGCACGTCATCATATCGTAATATTGTTTTGCCCTGTCTCTCGCGTTTGATTGTTGACCCAGCGAAAGTCACTTACCTGCTGCAAGAGCGATTTTTGGAGTAACAGATATACATTTCTCCCAATTTGCTCCCCAAGCATTTCTGTTGTTATTATCATCTAGATGTAAGCAGTGTTGATGTGAATGCTGAAATTGAACCCAGTAGGGTTTTTAAAGTTTCTTTTGACTTGGCTTGACCTGTATGTATCTATGCTATTTTGTGAAAATTCTCATGGGTGAATTCATCAAGCTACAATGGAATTGAATTCACGGTTTTACTCTGTTCTTCGTTCTACTGTCTTGGCTCCACAAAAGAGATACAGAAGTTTTGAGATATGACAAATATTTGCACGATAAATGGGCTCCAAACTGTAAGCAATCTATTAATATATTGGAATAACCTGAACTGGAGATAAATGCGGTGCCATCGAGGGCTTTTCGATATTTCGTGACAATTGGCGCGAAAATGGTTCCTTACAATTACCTCGGAATTCGCGAACCAAAGCATAACAAAAGGTCAAAAGCTTAGCATCAATGCTTTCCTCTATAAATATCATCGTATTTACATTCAGAAATCATCGGCAGTGTTTTGTTAGCAAATGAATAAACCATTATAGTACAGCTGACAGACACATCAACGGTCATGTAACTGCGCGTGCTAACATATCTGTGCCGTTGCAAGTCCTTGCCAACCAAGCAGGTGATAACATTAAAGTGCAGTGGGTACAGTAATGATCGAAGTGCAGTTCGCGTCGGTTCCTATCTGGATTGAGGCAATTGACGCCATGTATTTAAGTTACGAATTGAAGTGGCTTATCACACGTTCCGCTGTAATTATGCATCATATTTAGTTGGGTACTCAATGGCTTACATCAACTATCAATGGTTCGGTTCGTAAATAAACTGTGAACGCACAACAGTCTTTTTTGAACACAAGTATGACTCTTAATTTCAGCTATCGTGTACATGATTGCTGACGTGTGTTGTTTACTCTAATGTCCCTGGTTGCGTAAATTTTCGTTACTGACGGGTAGTAAAGTAGCAACAAAAATGAATTAGATGAGGAAGGATTAAGTGATGATCCTGCTCTTTACATATTCTTATGGGCTGCACCAGTTCTCCGATGCATATAACATGTAGTGGGCTTGCCATGTCTAACTTCCGGTAACTCACTTTGTAAGTTAAATCTTTCAGCAAGTACAATTTTTGATAGATATTTTAGAAAATCGAATCAAGAAAATGGCGCATATTGCTTTGTGATGCAACAGAAATCCGTTACCATATGCCACATATAAAATCAGTTGTGCGACGGAATTGACTGGAAGTAAAATTATGCTAAATCTCAGATTACACATGATGTGACTGTATCTAACTCAACAATACCGTACATCTTGCGAACGATTTCTTACTACCATTAAAGGTACTCAACAATGGTTAAAAAATTTAGTGTATCCTTGTGATGACCCATTATTCGTCATCTGAGTACTGCATGAATTGATCATATCGACTTACCCCATACCACTTGTCTCTGTGTCTAAACGTTTCATTAGGACCTGATCCACCTTTTGTGATCCGCCACTGTTTTGAATTCCTTGAGTGGAAGTACCCACCGCAAGTCGCAGAGCAGGCGATTTTGGAAACCACACCAACAAGTTGATAGTGGCACTCCGACCATCCAATTTGGTCACTAGCGGTAACGCAGGTGAACCGTCCAGCTCTGCACCAGAGAAACCGAGCCGATCGCAAGCATCATTGGCGAAGTGTATGATGGCGTCGTCACCGGTGTGGCATGTTGCCCGTTTTGTCACATCTACGACTTGTGCGTCGTACGTGAGCCCATATACCCAGACCGGATGTACACTGGGCTCACCAGTTAAAGCTGCCAAGTTAACTAGTGCCGAGCTCTTAGAGTAAAAATACAAACAGAAATAATTGCACATGTTTAAAAATTTGTTTCCCAGAAACGCACGGAAGAATTGAAAATTACTTCGAAGTCATTTAGCCCTGCAATTTAATTGCCGCAAAAGCATTTTGTCTACTAATATTTGTAACACTTGGATCGGCTTCAAAAAGAATATACAATCAACATCAGGAGAGCCGTAAGAAGGCTTAACGAGTAGCTTGAAACAAGACATGGCTAACTACATCACCTGTGCGTTGCTATCTCTCCGTTTCATTTATCAAATGCATGCGTAATATGTAAACCGGTCAAACGTTCATCTTTACTAAAAAACTACTGTAAAACTCGAAAATTACAGTTGTCCAATAAATGCTGTCAAATGTTTCTTGCTACAAGTGGAGAATAAGTGCTGTCCTCAGAAAGCTCTTAGTGGATACATTTAGCGCACTAATCCGGTAGTGGGGCCAGGTACCGTTTAGAAGCTTTGTTGAGGCGCCAAGATGAAGCAAGCCTGGTTTCCGATTACAGTTTCTAGACACAAAGATAGAAAACTAAACGGTGTGGAAATTGCTATTTACCATTCCCAGTATTGATTAAAACATATTCCTCTTAATTTGAAAGATCGGGAAAGTTGGTTACCATAGAGGGAGCATTTAAACCAAATTTCGTCTTCGTTGCTATCAACGTCAGTGCATAGTTCACCTGCAAATATTTTTCGTCGCAGTTAAAAGATAATGGCTTGAGGAAGATCGCATAATATGTAGGCAAGAAGGGAACTTAATATTTAGATTAAATGCTCTAAGCAAATATTTATCAGGAGGTTAGTAAATTTTATCAACTGATCACTGTCACAAAAAATATGGATAACGTGTAACGGTACGGCGATATCTCTGTGACGTAGTCCCATCATCTTGCATATAACATTTTGAGACACATTTTATACAGGTAAAGAGATTAATCGGCATCAAACGCCAGACTATTGGAAATTTCCAACGACGTACCGGAAATTCTGCAGCTAAGGGCTAGACGGTAGCGTGTACTCAGACCCTTATACAAAGGGAACTAACAGCATACGGTACATCCGTTAGTGTTCATTGTCCGCTTAATTGAAAGTTTGCTCACTTCGAGAGCTGCGTTATCCGACAGCCGACAACTAAAAAGTCTTGTCTCAGCAGGTGATGACCACATATACGCAGTATGTACGAATCCAACGTATTTTTGGTCGACCAATTTCATCATAATAAGAAATAACAACACGTCAACAAACATACTTTTAAATTAGATTTTCTGATCTTCTTAGACTTTCAAATGCTCTCCGCAAAACTACCGCGATGAACACAAAAGTAGCCATTGTCAATGGACATTAGATGTCAAGATATACCATAAAATGCTTGCACAAACTGGATTTCAGTCAACGAGTCACTAATAATCTGGCAAGCTGGTATAGTCCTGTCAGTGGATTACTCTGAAGTGCTTGCTGCGTAATCAATCTATACCATGCTACGCAAATGAAGTGGGGCAGTTTAAGACAGTTCGCTATTAGATGACATTTAAAATGCTCTGAAATCTTTGTAGACTGAATCCGTTGAGTTCGATAAACATTAATGTCAACTCATATATGGTTGCGGTTACTTTTTCGGGCTGTATGTGAACAGCTAAACAGAGTAAGTTCAATACTATTTCCCACCTTAAATTGCTAACCTAATAATCTCCGCTCAGTACTGGTCTGCGACGATCAGCGTTGCGGATATACTGTTGTTAAAAGACGCAAGGGATGTTGTCTAAGCAATGATATTCTAACGGGTTTGTTTCATATATTCCTGAAAATAGCAAAAGTCTCAATTCCAACGATCGGGAAGACACTGCGTACAAGCGCGTGAACACCGCATTTTAGGTCAAAAGATAGCCCTTATAAAGTAACAAATGCCTCAGTTTCAGGAAGGTGGCTTTAAACTTTGCATTATATAAACGGAAGCACTCATTCGTCCAAATACTTTAATGCAAGAAACAAATAGGTGATTTAAAATGACACTAGCTTCTGGAATTCGGTAGCTGAAAGATATTTAAATGGCCGGTGATAAGGTGACAGAATTTTGCACTTGGAAAGTACGAATCGTAAATCAAGTGGCATTACCGCCCTATAAATTGTATTCTGAATAGACTGGAAGCTTCAAGAGTATCAAGCAGAAAAATGACATCATCAGCATTATAGATCTCAACTAGTTTCCTAATGAGTAACATCACAACGTCTACATAGTGAGATTTACCAAAAACTACTTGTTTGCTTTTAAGATAATCTAAACAAAAATGGGAAAATTGAGCATTCCGCGGTTTGCTGCCTTTTCTTAGGTAGCTAAGTAACACTTATGGGTTGACCGTTAAACGACCTGCAAGGTTTGAAGACAAGACACATATGATATTGATGCATTTCCCATAAATGTATAGCCGATAACTATGTCAAATAGAACGGATAGATTAAATGAGTCAAACGAATTGTTGTATACGAAGCGCAAAACTCTCCTCGACCTGCCGCCCATATTGCGCTGTCCCAACATCTACCGTGAGCTAAATACGTGAAATATGTAGCTGCGCCCTAAAAAGAAAACTCCCTGCTCTTACCTTATCTAGCTTTCTGCACCACAGTTTAGCCAAACTTGAGTACTAAAGCCTTAGACGAATATTCTTGTAGTCAACACACAGTGCGACAGTCCGTCTTACATAATGCCACTATAATCGATGTATTGTAGTTGGACAGAATGCTGCTTTAACTTCATATCAGTAATAAATGGATTGTCAGTGCTTTGCAAACAACCTCACAACAATCCCTAAATAGTGCGGTTTTCAGGAAACCTGGATTGAATTCGAGAAACAATGTGAGGGTTTTGATCAAGTTTAAACTAACCAGTCACCGCTCCGTTTACATACACTGCGCAATGATGGACTCAAAAGAAGTGGGGCACACAACTAATTTTAAATATCCTCTCAAAACTAGCCAGATGGTGTTCATTATTAATAAATATAGTGTCCCTTCTGTTCCTCTTTACAATATTCTTGCTTGAGTTGCTAGGAACTATGATGTGGTTAATTTTTAGTCTCCGATAATATACCTGTGCGCCGGCCTCCTTTGTTGCGTTATCCTTGCGGGTCCACCTGGTTTTCTTTGGAAACAAAGGCCCCGCTTCAGTTAGTGCCTAATAAATCAAATGTTGTTCTCGTGCTCTGAGATCAAGTTGCTGATACCGTGACCACTGATAATAACACAAGCAGAATACCCCGTACTGTGCTTAGAAGCGTAACTACTAGCTTAATAAATTTATATGAACTTTTGGTAGAAGTGCAATCATTTTATAAAATGCGTCTAACGAGCTTGCCTGATTGAGACCTGCAATACCTAAGCACTTAGGACTCGAAACTGACAATTGACATGCGTTCCAATAAAGCACATCCAAAACTAATGATACGCTTTTCATGAACGCAGGCAACACAATTCACTCGAAACTAGAAGCAGTCAAGTAGGGAAACAAGTAGGGAAACAGCAAATTTTGACCATGTGATCTATTTGGGCTGACATTTGATTAGCAAAGGCTCGCCATGGTCTATGCGTTCTTATGATGGACAAAAGCTTACCAATAAATTGAACGTCTGGAGAGCTAAGACTCTAATCCGCGAACTAGAACGCAGCCAAGCAGCCTGTTTTCTTCATGGCAAAAATATCCTTGGTATCCCAAGGACTGCCACCGATGGAAGGATAAGCAGCAACCAAGAACAAGTAGCATATTGTGCAACTCCTGGAATTAATCGTAGTTGCTATTGTTAAACGGAATGCACTCAAAAGGCCGCTCATCGGAACCCATTAACCTTACACTGCTTCGGTATTTGGAAGTGACAGCAGTGTCGCAACCCAGCCTGACAACTTGTTGCGGCTTCAGCGTCCGCAGATGTGTCTAGCCAATACACAGATTGATTCCATTGCATTCAGAACCGTGCAAAAGATATATACTGGTTGGACCGTTAGCTGCATGTGAAAATCCGTGATGGCTATAGCTTAACGGTTTACGAACCACCTGACCACCAATTGGATATGCTGCTCCCCGTAACATCCGAATCTACATGACAGTAAACAAAAGCTTTTCAATGAGAAAGAAAAAGACGGTGTAAACAAAGAAAAACTTGTTGTCTGCTTTGTGTACTATAGCCCGTCTGATCCCTGCATAAAATTTAACTGGGCATAGTTATAGAGCCACCCATAACAGCCGCAGATAGACCAGCGATTTGGTACTAGTTATCCATGAGAAAATGACTTTGAAACAGAGGTCTTCAAAATGGCCATGTACCGCAAAATCTTCTAGATCTCAACATTCGTATGCGAGAATAACTTAGAAGCAAATAAAGCTCTTTGTTGATTGCGTACGTGAGAAAGTTTAATACTAAGTTTCAAGGTTGAACTTGACAGGTAAAGCTTGAGACTGGTTTCTCAGATGTAGTTCGAATGCAGCAACAACGTTCGTCTCTACCGCCCAGTTTGCAAAATAACAATACGCCTCACTATCAGTTCCTCTCTTAGTCTCTTTAACAGCAACTGGGGTATTATTCTTTTTTACTGGAATATCTAATACAAAATACCGCAACAGTATCAGCAATATGAAAATGCCTTTCCACCAGTGAATCAGTACAAACTCTAGACGAATTCTTGCTTATAGTAGGTCCGTAGGAACAGATCACTCTGCCTTCTAATGTAGCTGTTTAAACTTTAACTACCAGTGTTATGAATGCAAATTCACAGCCCAATTCATGGAAAATTATTCATTTTTCACTCCGAACACATGACTTAATCTCATTTATGTCTAACTTTATTGTCTTTTGGCTGTATGTTGGAACTATCATTTTGTAAGACGTCCATAATGCGATTACGCCGACACACCAGCAAACTTATTTTCCTTCTTGCAGCTTATTCAAACAGATGTGCCAAAATTTGACAGCAACTGTTTAGGCTGACCGGATATT